TCTGTCGATTAAGTGTCTGCCTTTGGCTCAGATCATGATCCCAGCGTCCTGGGATCAAACCCTGTGTTGGACTCCCTGCTCAGCGGGGAGTCTGCTTCTCCCTCTTCCTCTGCAGCTCACACCCCCCATTTGTGCATGCTCTCTCTTTCTCTCTTCTCTCTCTTTCTCTCTCTCAAATAAATAAATAAAATCTTAAAAGAAAAAAGGAAGAAGAATCCAAGACCCCAAGAGGCCCATGAAGAGCTGGGCAGGCCTGTCCAGGAGGAACTGAGGAAGAGGGCAAGGAACCAAAGCAGGCATTGAGGGCAAAGAAAAACAGAACATGCTTTGAAGAGCTGAAGACCTGGTGGAGGCTGGGTTACTGACAGGAGTAGTCATGGAGAGGCTGGGGCCAGCCTGCCTTCAGGGAGAGGGATCTCAGCATTGGGGGTGACTGGACCACACCCGCAGGGAGAGGTTCAGGGGACTGAAGGGCTCAGGTACCAGGGAATCGCTACAGGATACCATCATGAGTTTCTGCCAGGACATAAATCACTTCTATTAATGCCGCTTGAATTTTAATATGTGTTGGAATCACCTGCGGATCTTATTAGAATGGAGATTCTGATTCAGAAGGTTTGGTGGGGGGGGGGGGGCTGAAAATCTGCATTTTAACAAGATCCCAAGCGATGCTAATACCACCGGTCTGTGGATCGCATTTTCTGTAGCACAGTCTGTAGCAGAGGTGCTCAGAGGACGGTCCCTAGACCCCCAGGGTCAGTATCACTTGCGAACTTGAGAGAAATTCAGATTCTCAAGCCCCACCCCAGATCCCCTGGATCCGAAACTCTGGGGGTGGAGCCCAGTCACCTGGGCTTGAACCCACCCTCTTGTGATGCTGACACAGACTGAAGTTTGAGAACCATTCTAGTAGAGAATCTGAGTGGGGGTGGGTGAAAAGCCAGAGGGATGGAAGCTGATATTCGCTCTGAGGACAAAGTAATGAATTACTGCGCAAGTAAGACAGAAACAAAGATCAGGTTTTAGTCTATTTACCTTACAGTTATGAACAAGTATAACCATTATAATAAAATTAAGACATAACTCTGAAAACTGCCCATATTCGCTTTTTAAAATAATCCTTTTTTTTTTTTTAATCCCCATATCATCACAAGTAGTAGAAATTCTTGGGAACATTTTCGAGATGAGCACCCTCCCTGCAAAGATGGGAGAGAGAGGAAATGTCAAATTGTGGCCCCCTCTACTGCTGGTGGGGTGTAACTGGTACAGGCACGGGGAGGTAAGGGGCAGTGCCCTGCGCTGGGGATTGAGAATGGCTCCCTGAAGCCCTTTCACTGCTGTTTTGTGTCTTCCCTTGTCTTGTCTGGTAGCTCAGATCACACGTCCCAGCCATCTGTTCCTCAGCTTCCATCCCTGCCCCTTACTGTGGTGCGGATCCCTGTGCCCCACCTTGTGACCAGTGGAGTTCCACACACACTGTCTACCTGGGTAAGAGATGTCAAGGGGAATAAAACATGGCTTGTCCTCCAACCCTGGGAGCCAGTCACCGGTGAGGGAACATACTAAATGCTGCGAAAGAGATTCACACAAAACATCACCTGACTGCCGCGCACACGCGGATCTCTGGGTCTGGCTGGCTCTTTTTAACCCTTATTCTCACAGGCGTCTGTTATTCTTTAAAACGTGTGGGCTGTTTTCCTAAGAAGGGGACAAGTAGGGTCTGTCTCTGTCACTTCCTTATAGCTTATGCAAAGCAGGGGACATGCTGAGTGCCAGGCCACAAAGCATGCCCTTCCTCAAGGACAGATGCCCCTGGGCTCCCAGGACAGGGTGCTGCCTTCTGAAGGCTGCTCAGAGCAGATCCCTTTCTATGTAATAGGTAAGAATTCAGAGTCTTTAGAAAGTTGGCTCACAATGAAAAGCTGCGTCATGTCTATGTTTAAGAAAAGTCTTTTCAAATCTCCACTTAAAACACTCGATCTGTACAGCCATGAACACTTATATCCCAGAAGCTTCCACGAGCTGGTGAGGATTACTATTAGAGGAGTAGAAATGGTCAGGAGGGGCAGTGTTCAAACATTGAACATGTTACCCTCCCATGTCCCCTTGAGGGCTTGCGCAGGGGCCTCGAGGTTCCCAGGAGGTGTTGTGCCATAGCTTGTTTGAACATTTCGTCAGAAGTGGAAATGTCTCATATAGAAAAGGGAGAGATGTCTCTGTGAGTACCACCACCGTGATATTCCGCAGGCCCATCTGATGTAAATGATTTTATTACCCTGTGAGCTAAATCTGGGTTAGTCTGGATGACACAACTACACATTTTAAACAAGAAAATGCCATTAAAAAGGAGATTGATTTGGATGCTCTTTGCTAGGAGAACAATTTTAGATCTTAGACCAATTTTTCAAATATTCTTGACTACGACCCACAGTAAGAACACATTTTATTTTGTGAACCAGGAAAGACACGGATTAATATATAATTGAAACAAGTTTTACAACGTAACAGTTCCCCTTACCACACGTGATGGCCTGGTTTCTCTATTTTTGCCCCACTCCTTCCTGTTAAAAGAAAAAAGAAGTGACACAGTCCACTGACTTCACAGTCCATGAATAGGTGAGACCAGCGTTTCAAAAACAACCGCACAGTGATCTGCAGGAGAGATGGGCTTCAGACCCTCCATCTCAGGTACCCTGTGGTGAAGGAAGGGGGATCATCCCCACTCCCACACCTGGAAACACACTTAGGTCACAAGAAAGTGTGATATAAATCCCTCTCTTCTAGAGTCTGACCGAAAAAGCTCAAAGGAGCAGTCTTTGCTTCTATATCTATATTACACTTAAGATATCAGTAAGGTTCTTAACCATGACCTTCCATAGGGAAGAGGCCTCATCGGACTGGCCCACAGACGAACTCCCATGAGCAGAGACTGTGTGCGGCAGTAGGTCTGACACAGCCCTACAAAGGGCCACCAAGCAAAGGAGTGGCCGGGGCACGAGGCTGGCACGTCCCCTGTGAGAATCCTGCTGGCCGCAACAGTGTTCCTCAGCCCATGAGGTTTCAAAGAGTTCTTGAGGCGGGAGGATGGGGAGATGGTTCTGGGACAAAAGAAGTCAAGGAAATGCTGGGTGAAAACCTGGGGCCTCGGATGTGGTAAGTGCTGTGGTGACTCTCAAGGAGGCGGGGTACAGTGTGCAGTGCCTTCCTGACATATTTAACCACAGAGTCCTTTTTTGCAAAGACTCAACCAAATACATGCTGTGTACAGTTTAGGGACTGCCACTCCAAGGCGCCACTACCTGCTTCTCCCCTTGGCAGAGACGCAATGCAGACAAGACTTCTCTGCGGTTCCGGGAGGACCAGGGTGTTAGGACCCTTCACGGGGACCTGAAGGCATCACTGTATTTGGTTAGTCAGTATAAAATGACAGACCTTGGAAGAGATTAAGCTGAGTGAAATAAGTCAAGCAGAGAGAGTCAATTATCATATGGTTTCACTTACTTGTGGAGCATAACAAATAGCATGGAGGACAAGGGGAGTTAGAGAGGAGAAGGGAGTTGAGGGAAATTGGAAGGGGAGGTGAACTATGAGAGACTATGGACTCTGAAAAACAATCTGAGGGGTTTGAAGGGGCTGGGGGTGGGAGGTTGGGGGAACCAGGTGGTGGGTATTAGAGAGGGCACGGATTGCATGGAGCACTGGGTGTGGTGCAAAAACAATGAATACTGTTACGTTGAAAATAAATTTAAAAAATTTCAAAAAATGACAGACCTTTGTCAGCACGTTGAGTGGACTCTCGTTTATAGCTTCACCATTTGTGGTTTGCAAAAGAGAACTCTGAGTCCTGCCCACCTCCAGGGGGCGCCATTCATACAGACTGTGGAGCGATCAAGGCCCCTTGGAGCCAGGGAGGTGGCAGCAGCCCTGTGAAAACAGGTCTGTGTTTTAAACTGTAAAACACAGTTTACAGGGTGTTACAGGTGGCTCAGTGGGTTAAAGCCTCTGCCTTTGGCTCACGTCGTGATCCCAGGGTCCTGGAATCGAGTCCCACATCGGGCTCTCTGCTCGGCAGGGAGCCTGCTTCCCTTCCTCTCTATCTGCCTGTCTCTCTGCCTACTTGTGATCTCTGTCTGTCAAATAAATAAATAAAATCTTAAAAAAAATAATAAACTGTAAAACACAAAACAGTAACAGAACTGTTGGCTGGAATGTCTGACACATTCTTTCACCCCTGACTCCTTTCATCCACTGACTCCTGCATCTTTGCACAGATGCTGTGAGTACCACGTCTCTGGGTGGGAGGAGGTTGAAAATCTTAAAGACTGGCGGGCGTTCAGCTTCAGGCCCACCAGTCGCTGTCTAGGACATCTAAGACTCGATTCCATCACCTGTAAACCAGGAATGATGACAACAGGTATCCCACCAAGTTGAGGAAAATAAGGGATAATAACCATCTTTATAAATGTCATGAGTAGTCACTTTGTAGGGAAGCCAAGTCTTGCTGCCGCTCCCTGCCCTCAGGCTTCCGTGCTGGGGTCCGCCACCACGCAGCCGTGGCACTGGGCGATCCCGGGGGGCAGACTCAGGGACAACTGGGCTGCAACACGCTTATGCACTGAAGTTCTGAAAGATGGTACTGTCCCTCACTCTATGATTTGTTCTCAGCCAGGAGTGAGGTGGGACCCCTGGAAGCTGGCCTCTACCCAGAATTCCTTTCACTGGCTTCTAAAAAATTCTGCCTTAAATAATTTCTGGAATAAAAGCTCTAATTATCCTGGGTTCCTTGTATATGCACCCGTACATGTATATCCAGAACATGAAAATACAAACACACCCCTGATCTCAGAAGTGTAAATTTTCACAGCAGCATCTCTCTGTACGACTTATTAACCAGAAAAAGAGGAATCATGTTTCCCAAGTCTTAGGAGAACGAAGGCTTAGAAAACCTCCCCAGAGCACAGTTTGTGATGTGGCATTTCCCGAGGCTGAAATCAACATCCTCAAGGGGTACATGCACAGAAGATGGTTAAGTTACCTGCATTGGTTTAATAAAAAAATCATGCTGATGAAGTTGCTGATCAAGTTGCAAAATCCTCACCACTCTTCCCAGTTCTTCCTAATGGCATCAGTTCCCCACTTCCAGTCCTTTCCCTATAGACCTGTTTTCCCTGAAGTCCCAGCCTTGTGAGAGGAAGCGACTTGTTTGGCCATGCCGGTGGATGATGTCTGCACGTTGGCGCTTGTCTCTGTGTAGCCAGTGGTGTCTCCTCCTGTGCCCCCCTCCGTGTCCCCGCTTCTGCACACACTTCTCTGTCTGGACCGTCTAGACTGTCTGGCCAGCAGCAGGTTCCAGGCCGCTGCTCTGTACTTCTTTGAAATGAGGTTGTAGAGGATCGGGTTGATGGAGGCACTCAGATAGAAAAGTTGCAAAGCAACAATGTTAAAGTACTGAGAGAAGTTCATCATCCAAGAATCTTCTGTATTTATGTAAATGATTCTGCCGACGTGGAAAGGCAACCAGCAAACTATAAATGCCAGAACCACCACCACTGCAAAACAAGGCACAGGCACCACAATGAGCTAAAGCATCCGAGAACAAACAAGGGCCCCCGAGAACCATCCAAAATAATAAACAACAGCAAACAAATTAAATAAAACTTTTACCTAGCCAAATCCCGGCCCAGAACAACTTCCAGGGTGCAAACAGCACCCATATTTGCTTTAAGACTGCATATACGCGTTATCAAGGCTGGACATATAAACCCGCAGGAGATAGTTCTACTAACAAGCTGTTCTGGCAGGCTTCCTTCCACAAACCTACTTCAGAGACATGTTCTCTGTATTCTGCTGAAAAGAATTCTGCAACAGGTCTGCACAATCTTTTGTTTTGCTTTGCCTGCGGGATAACTTAACGTTAAGGTGTTTGTTTGTTTGTTTTTTAAAATTTAGCTTAATGTGCTCTACCCCATCTCCTCAAGGGTACTATGAGTAATTCTCATCTAACAGAGATGAGCGGTTGGTTTACCCATCCCGGATCAGCCCAGCTTACGGATCCCGCGGCTTAGCGGACCCAGGCATCCCACCCTCCGGGGCGCCTTGGGGTTACCCAGAGCTAGCAGAGGACTGGAGACGCTTTTCTCTGGAGACAGGCAGGACCGACAGTTGGAGGCTGGAGCAAAATGGCACAAGGAATGTAGCTAGAAGTGGCGCTGGGAGACGAGGGGAAGGGGACGCTGCCTGGACCGCGCGGGTAGGTGTGTTTGGAACACAGGTGGTGCCACTTACGCAGGACGCGGACCGTCTGCCGGTGGCCCTTCTCGCGCCCCGAGGCGGCCCGGCCTCGCAGGGGCCCCCGACTCCTCCACAGCTCCCGCCCGATGAGCCCGTAGAGGACGCTGAGGCACAGAAAGGGCAGGAAGAAGTAGGCGGTGGTGACCCACAGCATGACGCGCAGTGCGCCCAGCTGAGATGGGCTGGGCCGGCACTCGCGGCTGAACAGCGCCGCGGCGGCTGCGGCCTCAGGCCCCGACGGCGGGGACGGCGGAGGCGCCCGCGAGGCCCCGAGGGGCGACGGGGTGAGCGGCGCGCTGCCGTTAAGGTCCCGGACCACGCGGACGCCTGGGTCCTGCTCGACGCCCACCAGAAAGAAGAAGGGCCCCGCGGAGAGCAGCGCCACGGCCCAGAGCGCCACGATGAGCGCGCGGACGCGGCTCCGGGTGACGAGGACGCGGGCGCGGAGCGGGCGGCAGATGGCGAGGTAGCGCTCGACGCTGAGCGCCGTCATGTGCAGCAGCGTGGCGTAGGTGCAGCCCTCGCCCACGTAGAGCGAGAGGCGGCAGAGCAGCTGCCCGAACACCCAGGGCCGCGAGCGCCAGAGGCGGTACAGGTCGAACGGGAGCCCGAGCAGGATGAGCAGGTCGGACACGGCCATGCTGCCCAGGTACAGGTTGGTGGTGGTCCGCATGTCCGGGTTGCGCCCGATCAGCAGCACCGTCACCACATTGCCGCTCACCCCGACGGCGAAGAGACCCAGGCACACGGCGGTCACCGGCACCAGCGCCCCCAGGGGGAAAGGCGAGCAGAGGTGCTCGTCGCAGGGCAGCAGCACTCCCTCCGCGCCGTCGCTGCTGTTCCAGGGGCCGCCCATGGACGCGCCGCGCCGGGCGGACGCAAGGACTCGCTCGGCGCCCCTCCACGCAGCCGCACCCCCGGCTGGCACCGGGGGCCGAGTGCGAACCCTGCCGGCGAGGGCTTCTTCGGGCGTCCGGCGCGCAGCGGCTCACGCGCCTCTGTCCGCACTGCCGGAGCTCTGCGGCGCGGCGCGCGGGGATGTGACTCTGCAGGGTCCGCTTTGAGGCCCTCCGGAGCTGGCTGCGCGCAGTCTCCGCCCCCGGCCACCGCCCGGCCCATTCCCGCCCCGCTCCCGCCTCACTCCCGCGCCCTCTCGTCTGCGGGTCGCGTGCCAGGGAGCTTCCCTCCCAGCTAACTGGAACGCGGGAGGCGGCCGTGGCGCACGGGTCCTGCCCCGTCCAGGGAAGCGGCTGCTCATCCCCCGTGAGGTGGGTTACTGACCCCAGCGGAGCGCAGGCGCTTTGGCCCCTCGAGTACAGAGGGGGACCTTCTAGCGGACCTCGGCTGGTGGCTGTGTCCAGGCGCTTCGGAAAGGCTGCCTCCGTACTAACATTAGAGGAGTCTAAACTCCGGAATCTGGGATAAACTCCCGGATTCTAGTTCTGTCTCTACAACGAGTGATCTTAGACCCGTCCCAGCCTCTTCCAGCCCAGGTCTCCTCTTCTGTTAAGTCTGCGAGTAGGAGTGGAGGGAGTTGAGCAGATAATTTCAGCCACCCCTGAAAACCCTGGAATGGGTGGGCATGACCACGACTACTTGTTTTAAAGAACAAGAGTTAAGTATTAACGTGTGTATTTGAGGGCTTACATGTGTTGTATTGTTCCTATGTACAAAATATATTTTATAAACTAAAAAGCAGAGTATTTGCCAACACTAGGAAGAACTAAAATTCTGGGGAAAAGACGAAAACTGATTTGAGTCAGTTCATTGCGGTCTTTGATAATAGCTGACCCTTACTGAGTGCTTAGGGTGTGTTTGGCCCTTTGTTTTTCATTCAATCCTCATGTCCTTGGGAGCTTGCTCATTTTACCCCTGAACAAAGTGGGACTTGCTTGTGATTTTATCTCCTGGTAAAGTACACCCTCCGCTCCCCCCACCCTACCCAGGAGTCTTGAAATGCTCCAGTCTCCCTGTGGATGAGCTGTTCCTCCCATGCTTCCCAGGCAGGGGGGCTCCTGTGGACATCCCTCATACCCTTTCATTACCAGGACCTGGGAGCCCTCTTGCATCTCAGCCTCCATCACCCCCTTTTGACCTCCATCCCTGGCTTTCTAGCTTACTTTCTCTAATACCTCAACTCCTGCAATCCTCCACCCACCCCGGAACTCCAGATAAATTGCTGGTCCTTATTATTATTCCTCACCTGCCTCAAGTGCCTCCCTTCCCTACCTGATGCAGTTTAAACTCCTGATTAGCAATCCCGATCACTCCCAGGCAAACACCTTCAACTCCTGTGCTCTTTTCTCTGTTGTCATACAGACAGGGTCGCGTTGACAAGAACACAACCATGCCCCTGGTTAAGTCCAATCTTCTGCCTACTTCGGGCACCCTCCCAAATAGCTTGATTGTGCTTGAAATTCACCACATCTGGAGCGGCTCTCCTTTTTCCCTTGGCTATCCTCAGACTTACCTGTTCCATCCACTTTTCCATCCTCCGGACCACTCTTCGGTACATCCTCCTCTGTCCTTAATTCCCAGAACCTCCTCCTTCACCCTCGTTCTCACCTGGTCACCTTGCTTCTAGGAAAGAATAGAAGCAATGGAAGAGAAATTCTCCATGTTCCCACCCCACCCCCACATGCCTCCTCTCATTTCGGTCCATGTGCAGATGAATGAGTAGGTGGGATTTGACCTTGAAGTCTGCTCTGCCCCTTTCTTCTTCCTTCACCTCCTCAAGGGCCTCACTCTAGCAATTCCCTCTCTTGCATCTTCAGAATTTCTCCCTCTTCTGGATCATTTCCATGTGTCCAGCACAAGTATCGATATTCAGTGTCTCCACTTTTTCTCTCCCTCCGTCCACCCCCAAACAAAGAGAAAATGCAATTTTTTCATCTATTGTTGATCTGATTTTCCTTTCGAGCATTCACTGACTGGGGAGCAAGAGAGTTAATTGTCTAGCCTGAGTAAAAGCCTGGTGCAGTTGGAAGAATGGGACGGTGTGTGGTGTTCGGTTCTGGATAGCATGCTTCTCCCCGAGCCGCCTCTTCCTCCTCTGCCTTTCTCAGGGGAGCCCAGGTGTTTGGGGGTGGACAGGGGGCTTGAAGTTCCTTGTGAAATAAAAGGGACAGGGACACCCTACTTTGTGTGGGTTTTTGGGGTGCCCAGGGCTGGCATTTGCCACATTCCAGTTCAGTGCCCCCTTCTTGCCAGCCACCAGGTGCTCTGCTAAGGCCAGAAGAGAGGGCCATGGTAGTGAATTTGTGGTCCATTTTTTTGACTCAAGGGATGCTCCCTGGCATACCTGACATCTTCCCTTAGCTCTCCCGCGTGCAATCCCTGAGGTTCTTCCCTTTTCTCCATTCTGCCCCAGAGTCTGATCAACCCAACCTCTGCTGAAGCCTCCTTGCTCCTTTCCCCATCCCCCAGGGCGGCCGGCGCCGGGCAGTCTCACGAGTGTGACCTATGCGGTCTCCCACTATTCTGTATACTCACCCTCCATTCAGACACTCCCCTTCTTTGTCTCTCTACACTAATTATCACCACCTGCCCTACTATTTAATGTACTTAACTCTTTGTTTGTTATCTGCCTTGCCCCTTCCCCTCCCAACATCCTATGGTCCAGAAGGCAGGGCTGTGCTCTGTTGTGTTCTGTGCTCTTCCCCTAGAGTCTGGATCGGTACCTGGTACAAAGTGAGAATTTAATAAATATTTGTTAACTCAGGGCATGAATAAGCTTCTGCAGAACCAGGTACCATTATCTTCTTTACAATTCCCAGTGACTGAGAATAGTACTTTGATTAGAGTGGGCGTTCAGTGTTTGTTGATGTTCTGGTTCCAGATAGTACACCGATATGGAGAGGTGGGTTTGCAGCAGGTTTTTTCTACCTTTCGAGGCTGCAGCTCAAGCAGGACTTGGTCCGTGGGGCAGATCTAAATCCTTATCAATAAAATGGTTTGGTGTTCTGTGTTTTAGGAAGAAATGAGACGAGCCATCTGGAGAATGACTAAATCTGCTTTCTACTTTGTATCTCTACGGTTATCCACCAGCGTACTGACTTCATACATCTGACAGGAGGACGAGGACGTCCTCAGGCGTGTGGGCACCTTTTCCCTCTCCCTTGTGTGTTTGCTCCTGGTACTTGTGTGGGGTGAGAGTGAGGCCAGGTCTGACCCCACTATGGCTCTATGTCCCTGGAAGCAAGAGATTGGTATCATTGATCAGATCTTGGCTCCTGGCTGGAGGCCTCACAGTTTGGCTTTTTTGGCAGGCTGGGATGTCCTGACTAAAAATAAAGCTAACGCTGGCAGTGGGCAAGGTGCTGTTCCAAGTATTCGCATATTTTAACTCATTTCATCCTCAATAACAGCATTATGAGGTGGGTCATTTTAGGACACCCACTTTATTTTTCCAAGATTTTATTTTTAAGTAATCTCTACACCCCACATAGTGTACTTACAACCCCGAGATCGAGAGTCTCATGCTCCACCAACTGAGCCAGCCAGCCAGGCACCCTGCAGGATGTCCATTTTACAGATGGGGAAAACCAGGCACAGAGACTTGATCTCACGAAGTGGAATTCCTGGCTGCTTCTCAGGTGGCCATAACCACAGTGCCATGTGGCCTCCAGCTGTATAGACCATGGCACTAGCAACCTTAGGGGTGGGTGGCATGTTCTGGATTTGGCTAGGAACACGTCGTTTAGCTCATATTCCAGATGCGAGCTGGACAAATGGAAGGACACAGAAAGTTTTGAGGAGCAGTAGGTTACATCCATAATTTGCAATTTACCTGTTGACATTTGTAAAAACTTCATGGGTCTAATTCTCGGTTCCGCACAGAAGAGTAGGATGGGAGGCAGACGTTGAAAGCGGAAGGCACACAGCAGCTGACCCACATTTTGTAGCATTTTGAGCCAACATCATTTAGCTGGGAAATTGCATGAGACGTTCCAGCTTTTCAGCTTGTCTTGCAACATGGTAAGATCTGGTGGCTCTGGGCCCACATTCCCTGAAGGTGGTGGCCCTCCAGGCTGAGCAGGGGCATCTGTGTTTGGACAGACACCCACTCAGCGGGCACGCTGCAGCCTTCATCCCTCACACGGTGGCTGCTTGGGCTGCACACCCAGCCTCTTCTTCACTTAAAGACCTGCTGGCTCCTGTAGGCCCCTTTATTTAACAAAGTATGGAGATGGCAGAGCTCTGCCCTGGAAGGGGTAGGAACCCCTGGCAGAAAAGGCTGAGGGCTGGGTCTGGCTGAACCTCTCCTCCAGAACCTGACCGCCACCTTGACCGCGGGCCTCAGGCTCTCCCAGGTTTCTCTGTACACAGCAGGGACATGGCAGGGGACATTCAGGTGAGACTCCTGATACGCTGTGATTGTTGCTGTAGCAATTTTCTCGTGGTCTAGTTTCTCCTAAGAGAGACAGGCTCCCCCCCCCCCCCGTGTGATGATTATCAAGGGTGCTGGTGGAGAGGGAGCAAGTCCCTGTGAAGCGTGGTCAGAAAGAGGGTGTAGGACTTGGGAAAAACCCTCCTAGAGATTCCAGGACCCCTTTCCCAGCCCCAGCTGATAGTCCCCGGTCAAGAATGACTGTCCAGCTCCCGTGCCGTGGCCGCTCACCCTGGGTCCAGTTGGGCTCCCCTTGCTGTGCTCTCTCTGCCATGCTGCGGTCGGTGGCATCTTCTGCACCATCAGCCACAGGAGCCCACTCGGCTGACGTGGTGACGCCACATCCAGACTTAGAGGGCTAAGCCCTGCCGCTTGAAGTGTCGTACCACCCTCGAAGCTCAGGAGATCCTGAGATATAAGCCATGCTTCTCCAGGCTCCTGTGATAGCAAAAATCTCAGCATGTTCA